AGGTCAAAAGAAATTATATTGCACTAAAGAGTGAGTCTTCTTATCGCTCCCACACCGGGGGAATAGGGACAAGCCGATCGATGCAGTCGCTGCTGTATACTTCTCGCAATTATCAACAGCTGATTTCGCCTTTTGAGGCCTGCATCTAATACTGCAAGCTAATAATAATCGTTTGAGCCTCCCTATGGGCAAGGGAGTCAACATTTTAGCTGGCCATTATGGAATCATACATGCTGGAGTGCCCCAGCCGGGCCCACATGCAGCCCACATACGCGGCTCAGTGGTCACAGGAGAAGTACTTTCACATGGCTTTTTGCGTCCCTAAGTGTGAAGACGAATGGCTGCGTGCTGATGTTTCCCTGCGTGTGACAGAAAAAGACATGGAATGTTTGCCTGTGATGCCCACATGTGAGGTTGCCAGCCGACCTGTAAAGAACATACAAGACAGCTTCGGAGCACACAGACCTAGATGGATTTATATATTACACACGTGGCGCCTATCTATAAAAATATTTAGACATATTTATCTCAACAGCTTTGAAAGCAGAGGGGGTGACAGCAGGAGTTGTGTGCAATGTGGGCACGGCAGTTAGCTAGATGTTGGGTTACTTAAGGAGAGCATTTTATTTTTACAGGGAAAGTGATTTTCAAATGGGTGAGCAAGACGCTCAGAAAGAAAAAAAAACATACGTATAATTTTTGGCTACACGTTTTCTAGCCCAGCCCCCCGCCCAAATGTAATAGAAAAGCAACATCTTTATAATTGGCACTTGACATGCTGTTTGTGTTGGGCTGTGGTACACCAAGCACAGATTTCCTGTTGATGGAAACATTTATCATCATGATTGCCCCAGAGTGGCAGGTGGTGTTATCAATTACCTCTTCTTACCAATAATAATATTAGTATGGTAATATCTTTGCTCAAGTGAGAACCAATTAGCAGTCACTTGTCACAGCATTAAAGACACAAAATCACGCTGGATTTAATGGTAAGGACCTAAAACAAAAGTTGGGGTGGGGGAGGAACCAGAGACAGGGGAGAGAAGGCCAGGGAGAAGAAGAAAGGAACTTTGATTTGGGAGGGGAAAAAAGAATGAAAAGAGAAAATAAAGCTCTAACATTTGAATACTCTTTTTGTATAAAGTAGCTGGGGAAATAAGCACATTGTAAATAAAGTAACAAATGCACCTTATGCAAAACTGTCTTTTGTGAATGCAAAGCCAGTAGCTCCAGTAAACTGGGACATTAAAATAGAAGCAAGTCTCCAACATCCCCTTGTCAAGTCAATCTTGCACATAGGCTTTCTGTTTTATCTGAATAAATGATACAAATTAATCAAACACCTAATTATACGTTCCACAAGTGTAAAATATACAGTATTAATTTGTAAATAATATTATTAAGTAGACAAAATAATAACGTGTCGCCTCCTAAGATGAAAACAACATTGCAAGAGGAAAGACAATTAACAAATTAGATTTAATTATAGGGAAGAAAAGCAACTTTTGTTTTTGCAAGTGTTTAGGTATCACAATATTTTAATAGGCAGTGGTCATGTGACGGTAGGGACTTGTGTGTCGCCAGCGCGACTCGGTGTCTGCGTCTCTGATGCACAGCTCCGGGGGTCCTCCAGTCTGGGCGTGACTGGAGGACACATCCTGTACCTCATCTGTGAAGATATTCTGCTTGACACGTTGTCGCCTGGCGATAAACCTATTGCTGGGACTCAAACTTTAGACGCCTATGCTTTCATTAAAACTTGCTGCACTAAATAAAAACAATTAAAGAAAAGTTTCAGACCTCAGTGGAGGAAGGCGAGGAAGGGAGAACAGGTTAACTCAGAAGGTAATTCGCCTTTTATTTTCGGCCTCTACTTTTTTTTTTTTAATTGTATTGATCTTGAACACCCGAATCAATTTTTTAAAAGGTGCGCCACACAATTTACTGATCCGCACCATTCTGGCAGTGGCGGGGAATTTGTGTAGGTGCCCCTTTCACAGCCTCCCTGGCTCTTTCGTCCAAGTCTTTGCTCCATCTTCTCAACGAAATCCCAGCGTGGAGAGCACGGGGGCCGAGGTGGAGCCCACACCTTCGGCCAGGCGACCCCATCGCGCGCGCCCTGGGCGGGGACCGCACCCCACGCCGGGCCGGTCAGACCGCGAGCTCCGTGTCCTGCTCCGCGGCCGCTCACTTTGGGGGAACCACTGCGTTCACCGCAGCGCCGAGCCCAGCCTGCTGTGTCTCCGCACTTACAACGCGCAGCGCGGGCGGGCGCGACACCTCTGCAATCTGACGGCTCGCTTCTTACAGATGAAGGGCCGGGGTCTCACTTTCGCCTTCGCTGGAGGGACTTAAGATCCTCCCCACGGCCGCACACCGTAGAAAATGCACAGCAAGTCGACGGAATTAAGCAGTGTCGTTCAGGAGTCCGGGAAAGCCCTAAGGAAATCGTGCCAGTGTGTCGGAGAGAGAGTGGGGGGCTGGGAGGGGCGGACGAATGGCTTTAGGAACAAAAAAGGTGGGGCCGGTGCGTGCAAAGCGGCCCAAAGAGGAGGAGTCGGTGACACCGGGCCAGGAGGCTGCCGGGGAGCCGGGCTCGGGCTTCCTCTGAGGGACTTCGGACGCCGCGGGAACCTACGTTTGCTTCTTTTCCCCAAAGTGTCGATTTTTGTAAAAAGAGGGAAAAAAGAGAGAATTAAGCAGGCAGTGCACCTTTAACCCGACCCACCGACAATCGTTTTGTGTTCTTTCTCTGCCGGGAAGCAGACATCTACCTCTCTGCTGCGGCGCTGCAACTTCCCCAAACTCTGGTCCGTCCTGTAAATTCTGCAAGAAACTTCCACTCTCTACCACCGCCCTCCCCCACCAACACACGTCCCTTCCTCTTCCCTCCTCTTCTCTTTGCCACTCTTTTGCCAGGAGAGTTCCTGGCCCGCTCGCCCCAAAACCTTGGCTGCGAACTTTTCACTGCCGAGCGCCTCTGCGCCGGATGCGAGAGCGTCCCCAAAATGCTTGCAGCAATTGCCAAAGTTGACAGCGCACTAGCGATACAGACCTTTCTCCCCACAGCTTAACTATAAAAGCCCTACCGTGGTGTGTGTGTGTGGGGGGGGGGTAACTCTAGATTTCGAACATTTTTCAGATGTCATTTTTTTCTTTTCAAAAACAAAATTTCCTAAGTGAATACGCCTGCCACCAAACAGCAAAACAAAACCGACCTTCAGGGATTGGTTGGGAGGAGGGTGGCAAAAGTGGCGGCGGGGTCTCTTTGGAGATGATTCCAACCTGTGCACTTCCTTCCTCTGTATGATTTTCCTGCGCTTTTCCTGGAGCCCAAAGCTGTTGCTTCGTGAAACTTACACAATTAGAGGCGCGCGGGAGAACCGCGGCTGGGTAGCGGGAAGATTCTAGAACGGAAAAGCAGCCCTTGGAGAGCCGGGCGAGCGGCGCGGGGCCGGGGTCCAGCCGGGGCGGGGGATCCCCACTAGTCAGAGCCCCGCGCCCAGCCACGCAGGGAGATCGCAGCCCTCTGGGCGCCCGGGGCTGTGTGCTCGCCGGCTGTTCCCCGCCAGCACGCGACCCTGGGGGAAGCGCCGGGAGGCCATCTGTGCCAAAGCTTCGTATCAGACAGGGCCACTTGTGAGGACAAAAATTATAAATTTAGGAAATGAAAAAAGACACGCTGGGGCGAGGGCACAGGCGCAGGCTCTGCGGCGACGGGGCCTGGAGCACATCCCAGCAGCCGCTCGCGATGGAAGACACGCGCGGGAATGAGCGCGCGGGAGTGGGCGAGGGCGCGTGTGCACGTCTGCGGTGGGGTGCGCGCGCGGGGGCGAGGGCGCGTGCCTGACAACCCGCGAAGGTTGGGTGCGCGTGCGGGAAGCGCGCGGCGCCGGCTGCCCGGGGATGCTGGGCCGGTCCGAATGTGCGCTCCCCCTCACCTGCCCTCCCCCCACGTCGCCCCCGACAGTCCTAGAACACGGGGGGCCGCGCGCGGGACTTTTGTGGACTTGGAACTTTCAGTAACGCGGTCTCGGGGCACCCTGCGCCCCCTGCCCACGCCACAGGCGCCCCAGGACTGCACCCATCGGGCAAGGGAACTGGTGGGGGGGACACCGGAGCCCTGTCATCCCCTCCCTTCCCCTGGATTTAAGGAGCCGCTGGCGGCGGGGAGGCCCGGCGGGCGGGCGAAGGGCTGAGGCGGCCCCGGTGGCGGCGGCGGGCGGGGCGGGCGCTCAGGAGTCAAGGGGCCCGGGGGTGGGGGGGCGGGGAGACGGGGGTGGGAGCGGAGGGGAGGGGAGGGGAGGAGCCGCTCGGCCCGCGCAGCTTCCGAACCGGAAAGTTGGTCTTGCCGAAGTCCCGCCACCCCGGCGTGCGCACTCCACTCCGCTCCGGCCGCGAGCCTCCGGGCCGGGCCGGCCGCCGGGGGAGCCCGCGGAGGGGACACGAGCCCGGAGAGAAGGTCCGGAGAGAGGGGACACCAGAGCCTGAGCGGGGCCGGCGCGCCAAGAGCCGCCGCGGACGAGTGGAGGCGACCGGCCGGCCCTCCGCGCCCGGAGCGCAGGAGGCTCGGCGCCCGAGCAGCCGGGCGAGACAAAGGCGCCGGCCGGAGCCTTGCCCGCGGCCGCCCGCCCCGGGAGGGGCGGCGGGCGGTGGCGGGGGGGGGGGGCGCGGCGCGGGGCGCGGGCGGCGGCGCAGACACTCTATAAAGGGGCGAGGCCGGCGCGCCGGCGGAGAGGCGCCGCGCGGGCGCCGCCAAAGTTTGCCGCCTGTGCCCGGGGCCAGGCGGCCGCCGCGGCCCGCGCCGCTCCCGGCCCGCCGGGCCGCACCGGGCGCCGAGGAGAGCGGAGCCCGCGATGTGAGGCGGCGCCGGCCGCGCGCCCGGGTCCCGCAGGCGCCGGCCCCTCCTCGCCGCGCGGCCGCTAATTGCGAGCGCGGCCTCATTTGCATAGGCCGCCCGAGTCCGCTGGAGGCCGGCCAATCGGCGCGGCCCTCCGCTAATGGCCATGCATTATTCACCAGCCTAATTGCTCAGCCCCATGCGCGGCCCGCGCAGCCGCCGCCGCCGCCGCCGCCCGCGCCGCGCCCCGCGCCCGCCCGGCCGCCCCGCGCCGTCCCCGCTGGCCGCCCCGCTGATGCCGCTTCCCCGCGCGGGGCCCGCGCGCCGCTAGCAGCATGTCTCGGCGCAAGCAGGCCAAGCCCCAGCACCCTCAAGTCGGACGAGGAGCTGCCGCCGCCGGACGGGGCTCCCGATCACGGTGAGGGCCCGCGGACCGCGGCGGCGCCCGGGGGCCTGGGAGGAGCGCGGGCGGCGGGCGCCGCGCACCGGGGAAGTTCCCCGGCTCCTGCGAGCCAGTGTCTGCCGCGCGGCGCTCGGCCCCGGCGGGGACCCGGTCCTCCACCGGAGCGCGCGGCGCGGGAGTGCGGGAGAAGTAAACTTGGCTCGGCCGCCCGGAGTTGAGCTGCGCACGGAGGCGCCACGGCTCTGGGACCGCTCGGAGTCCGCGCTGACCGGCGGAGGCCGGCGGGCCGAGCCGGGCGCTGGCGGGAGGGGCCGCGCCGCCGCCTCCGCGCCGCCCCTCGCGCTCCCCGCGCCCGGACGCTGGGGCCGGCCTCGGCGATCGCGGCGTCCCCAGGGCGGTCGCGGCGGCGGGGACGCGTCCGGGGCTCACTCACCACCGGACGCGGGCCGGGGAGGCCGCTGCCGGGACAGCTTTGTTAGGCGCCCGGCGCCCTGGCCGGTTCGCGCTCGGAGCGGGTCCGCCGCCCTGACCCCGGCTGGCCAGCGGCCGCCCCGTGTGCCCGAGGGCCGCGGAGCCCGCGGTTCCGGGCGAGCCGACAAACCAGTGATCCCATTCCGAGGAGAGTAGGAAGCCGGTGTCGCCTGGCCTTTCCTAATGGCCGCCTTGGGAATTAACCCCGGGGTGAGCTGCGCAGCGGCGCGGGGGGGTGGTCCTTGCACGCGGTAGGACCCCGGCACGTTTCTGGTGCCTCTCGGTTTTCTGGGGCCTCTTCCTGTTCTTTTGGAGGCGCCGCGGGCAACTCTGCAGCCAGCTGGCGGGTAGGAACTTCCTGCCCATCCAGGAGGGAAGGTAGGAGCCACGAAAGTTAGCGCTCGGCGAGGAGCCGGCTGGCCGTGGCCGCGCCCCAGCCCGGGAAGTTAGGGCCCCGGCCGCTCCGGCCTCCCGCTGCCCGCGGGTCCCCAGGGGGCGGGACGGGCGGCCGCGGCGCGATCGCGGGACGCAGGGCGACCCTCCACTGCCCCGGAGCCCGGGCATCGAGTAGTTTGTTCCCTACAAAATAGGCCGGCCAACTTTTTGGATTAACCTATTCTAAGTGGTTTAGAGCAGATACGCGTCTTTTCGCTTTGAGAATTAGCCTGCAGAAATAAAAAGTTGAAGAGTTTAGCGTGCGGTGTCGTAAAGTTTGCAAAAGCCGGTATACGTCCGCATCGGAATGGAGAACGGGAGTAAAGACTTCTTACGCGGCTGGGAATTCAGGAATTAAACAAAATTTGAGAACTCGTGAGGGTCTTTTTGTCGCAGCGGAGGTAAGGGAGTCTTATCTGTGTCGCCTGGTCACCCAAGATTAGAACGGGAGATATGCTAAAAAGAAACGCTTGCATATGGTGGGTAGATTAAGGACAAAGAATCTTTTTGTCATGGAAATGGATTTTTTTTTTGTTTTGTTTACTTCATCACATAGAATTTCTCACACTTGGTTTGTTTTCTATTGCCCTCAATGACTACATGATCAAATGAATGGATTTATTTCTGCCGAATGAGAAAGACAGTCTTTCCTTCAAAAGAACTACATTGCATCCCAGTGAGGAATTTTAAAGCTTTATTATTGTGGCTCCTGAATAGCTTAAAATCGGCTTTCACAGCCGCCCCAAAATGCAACAATGTAAATACTTCTCAGCTTTGTAGGGTCGTTATCAAAATGTGCAATGTCTCCTTTTATTAAAGCATATTTTAATTAATAGAGTAAAACCCCTTGTATTTAACAATTAACAAGCTGAGGCACTGCTATTCATTTTTAATTTCACTTCAGAAATGAGAGCGTGGTGAACCTCCTAGTGTAAGCGTGTGGAGGGGTCCAGAGCCCTTATTTGAAAACCTAAGATGGAGTAAATTATTCACAAGTTCTCTTTTGAATTCCCCTTGTTGTTACTGAATTTATTTAGGGGTGAAACACATTCAGGTTTTTTTTACCCACCGTGGGATTAAAGTTTCTGTCAGCCTGTGTTTTTCACAATCATTCAGAGTTGTAATCAAGATATTGCCACAGTTCCTGATCGTATTTTGCAACAGGCCAAAAATAGCCTGTCTGGGGCTGAGCCTTAGTCAAGTAGTGTGTTCCCTCGATTGTTCGGGCAAACTGTTTAAAAAATAGTTCTTTCTGATTTAATTATTCTGAAGCTGATTGTTCATGGAGCATAAAAGATAGTCTGTTCTCTCTTCACTTAAGGCATGTTCACGTATAGATTGCTCTGTTGTACTGACCATCATCAGGAGGAGAACTAAGTAAAATATTTTTTTTAAAGCTAAATGGTTGTGAAAACTAAATTACTCCAACGTGAATCAGATATTCTCCAAATTATATTCTGTTAAATGCAGTGGAAATCAACAGACTATGCATGAAGTTATAAGCGAGCTAAGTTAGGTTACAGTGTTTTAGAAACGAAGTAAATAATTCCTTTGTATTCCTTTGGATGTTACATGTTAATTAAAGCAGTAGATGCCCGCAATAAAATGGAAGGTTCTTGATAATGATATGAAACACAAATATTCTATGCAAAAATTTTAGTATAATATGGGGGGAGGCAGTCACATTAATTTACAGAAAAAGACTTTATTTCTTTAAAAAAAAAGAAATCTGACTATTATCTTTCAGGCTTTGGTTTTTAGGCAAGCAGTGAAAAGATAGCTGTCCAAAAATGCTTCAGTGCTCTCCAAACCTTATTGCAGGAATGAAATATGATGACATATGTAGAATGAGAAAAAGTGATAAAGATTTACGTTAAAGTTCTAAAGTTATCCTGTTGTAAAAATGTGTTTTAAGGATGACTGGGACTAAACTTACATTCCCACTAGGTACTATCTTTTAAAATTGCAAATTGTTTCATTCCTGTTTCCGAAAATTTAGAAATAAATGGGATGCAGCTTTCGGATTCAGTTAATTAAATGTATGCCACAATAAAGAAATCTTTTGAGCCAGCCGAATATTTTTGTTCTAAGAAAAATTAATTAAAACTTCTAATGACGGAACAGCACTTACACTCCTACTAAGAGCTTTAAAAGGTGTTTGTTGCTGTCCTTCACTGGATGAAATACAGCTTAGGAAAGATGCATTTTACTGCCCTTAGAAGGAAAGTATGTATTTAAGGAGAAACAAAAGGATATTATAATTTAAAGCAGTTTGCCATCCTGTATTTTGTTTGTTTTTATTTTCTGCCAACTCACAGTTACATGGCTATCTTAAAAATCCTTTTAAATGATCCTGTGATTTAAGACTTTACCAGTGGTGTTCATAGACCGTGTTTGAATTAAGGGGAAGAAGGCCCCCAGCCCTGGGTGAAGAGATCTTTTCTCTTTTATCTGTCTGTGCATGGTTTGCCTTCAGAGCCCTGGGCACTCACTCACACACTTACAATTCAGCATTCCAAAAGGAAACAATACAGAAGCCACTTTCTGACATCCCTAGGCAGACTGTTTTCTCTGAAACATGAAAGGTAAGGAGCAAGTTAAGCACGGAGGGAAAGGAAAAGAAGAATTTGCGAACGTTTATTTTTTAAATGACATTTAAAATCCTAACCTATTTAAAAATGCATAATTTGGTGGCCAATAAAAAGCATGCCAATTAATTCTCACCTTACAGAGAAAGAGCTGATTATGTTACAGTTAAGGGATTGTTTTTTTTTAGGCACATTTAAACTTCCACAGTCTACTCATAATGCAATATTTTTTGATCTGTTTAGAGCCAGAAAATGAAGAAGGTATGGGCCAACAGCAGGAATTACTTACCAAGCTGATTATGTTTTGTGTACAAGATGATGGCAAAAGGAGGCCAAAGTGGGTCAGATTTCATTTTCAAGTACAATCTCTAAGAGGCTTTGCCATTCACCCCGAGATAGCTCCAAGAACGTTTTCTTTTGGGGGGAATTCAGCAAAGGTACAGCCAAGGTTTCCGTTCTGTGTACTGACCACCAGTTAGAACTTAGCATTCTTAAATGTAAGTATTTTATTTACATGAAATAAAAACCTTCTTAACTGTCAATGAGGTCATGCCCCATCCTTCAATGCTGCATATAGTTTCAAGAAGGATAATTTTTAAATAATACTTATAATAGGAAGAGGTTTTGTTAGTTTTCATTTTCCTTCATGATTTCTTGACCAGTTGCTAGGATAAGAAGAGCATATCTTAGTCTTGTGAAGATGAGGGCTAATTCTACCACTGGTGGGACAGGTTTGTAGTTACAGCATATGTGAAGTTGCCACACACTTCGTATAAAATCAGGCATAAGTCAAGTCTGTGTAGAAATTGAATGTTTTACTATTACCTTACATAAACTTTTACATTTGAAAAAAAGAGCCCGGTCCTTAGATTTTTTTCTCTTGTTAAGTTGAACACCTTTATGACCTAAAGTGCAGTTAACTGTGTGATTCCCCAGCAAATAAGGCGAGTCATATCGCAGAAAGTGAGATATTAATTGAAATAATAAAATAATGCAATGGGCTCTATTTATGTTAGAGATTAGGATTTGATCTGTTTGTTGAAGGCAGGAGTTCTCTGGGCTGAACCATTGCCCACCAAAGAGACCTGAGGCTGCCAGGGTGGCGTCCAACTGCGCGGTGCCCTCCGTGGGCCTGTCTTTTCCGGTCATCCCAGATTCGTTATGCTAACCATCGGGGACCCCTCCCCTCCTAATTCCCGGGAAGCCTTGGGGCCCACACAGCGTCCAGCCTTGGTGGCCTGGGGTCTGTGGGAAGCAGGGCGTGCAGAGGGCTGGCAGCTTCCCACCCATCTCCGCGAAGGTGGGTGGTTCAGGGTGCTGCTGCGACAGACCTGCTGATTTAACCTTTGCCTGCTTCGCCCTGCCGGGGGTGGCCACTAGATGTCAAGCTCATAATACAATGAGTGCATCTGTGCTGTTGACCTTGGCAACAGGACTCACCAGTGTTAAGTGTTAACACTGGCTCCGAGTGCGGACTGGGGACCCACGAGTTTGCTCTGTGCTGCTCGGTTTATCAAATGC